AAGCTTTATAAGTATACTAAAGCCTAGCGCCTTCTAAATTAGGTAAAAAGTATATCTTATTTTTCTCTAAATTTTAGCGGTTTTTATAATAGTCTTTTTATTATTATTAAAGCTACCCTGCTCTAGGAATCACAATGCCTGCTCTTTTAGAGGTCTATATAAGACCTAGGTTTTCCTACTTAGGGAACTCCCTTTTCCTTAGAGACTTATTAACTTTTCTATTATATAATATATATTATTAAATTTAGAAAAAATCGCTCTTCTTAATAGACCTACTTTTATCTTATAAATCCTACCCTATAACTACTTATTAATAAGTTATAACCTTTTATCCTCCTAAGAATTTAACCTCTACCCTATCTCTTATAGCTATCTATCCTTTGACCTATAACGAATTTATCGGCTATTTTATTCAAGCCTTAACAATTCATAAATCAGGCGGGGAGCGCACAGAATCTTGAACAAGACAACGAAGCGTCTGAAGTGAGAAGGACAGGAGCAGACGTAAACCAGTCATCTGTTGTCAATCGGAGGGGCAACGCATCTATAAATAGAGCCATATATACAGAGCCCTAGAAGAAATCGAATTGATAGGTAAAATAAACCGATTGAGAAACGATATCTTGCTGTGTGATGATACGTGAGACCCTATGATTGACTCGAGGCTTTTCGGCGTCTTTAACAATAGCTTCATTCTGTTCAACGGCCAAGTTTGACATGCCATAGAGTATAATGCTGGCAGCTGCAACGAACCTCGGGATACCTTCAGTTTTAGCGAGCGGAGCAGCTTTGGTTGAGGTTCAGCTGACCGAGCGGCCATACATATCTCCAGGTGCACTGAAAGTCCCCCGAACCAAGATGAAGATACAACTGCCAGAGACTAGGAGGCGTCCAACTAAGGAATGTAACAAAGGAGAGGCAGGAGGTTTCCTTTCGCCTAAGGAGGCTCCTCCATCTATTCCTACTCTACTAGAAATGTGCAGGATCCCAGCCTTTAGAGATCCCTGTATGATAATAGTTTCTTGTCCCTCTTTCCCACCTTCCGTCCGTAATGGTTGTGGCAAGTTTAGCTGACCATAGCCCCTCTCAAGGTTTCTTAGTCTCGTGGATAACACCAGTAGTATCAACCATCACCTAGAGATACTGCACCGTCTTTCACGTCACCGTTACCGTGGACAAACTGCGAATAGATACCCGCGGCCACAAATAGCTACAAAAGTCCCGTAGCAGAAAGGAAATGAAATAGCCCGGTTTGGTGCTTCTCGTATTATCCGTGAGATGCACAGGGCGGTGTCGTATATACAGAATATGACTATCTTGGATTTCTGTGAAGATGCTGACTTGCGCCACTAGCATAGGATCAGTTAGTTGCATATATCGCAGGAACAATCAGTGAAACGTTTGTAACGTCGCCCAGTAGCCTAGCTCACGAGTGGTTGGGGGGATACCCGCGCCTAGTAGCCATTAATATCGGCAGTACGTTTCATCATGCTTTCAGACCTTTATCGAGAGGTGTGGACGAAAGGTCATCACCAGCTACATTGAAATTTGTGTCCTCTGCATAGCACTTGAAAGCCACTCTTGGACACTCATTGAAGGAAGACCAATAGCCTCGGCCAAATGAAGGATGGAACCACACTCCGGCGAATGTTGATCATGGCCAGAAACATCCTGTCAAGCTCGTTTGGCTCCTGTCGTCCCAGAAATGGGCTCACTTGGACTTTGAGCACTGTAAACTCTGATCAACAAGGAGCGCTCTCGCCGTCAGGCCGTCAAAGGACGGTGCACCAAACTCAACCTGGCGAAACAGCTACCATGAGCTATTCCGCGCTACAGAAAACTCTCAGATAAGAGGTATTCTATCGACAGGTGCTCTAAGATGATTCCCGTCTTTTAACTAAGGTAGGGCAATCTGTATGGCTCTGGGGTAGTGCCAAGAGTTGGAGTACTGGCACCTTAACTTGGCTGCATCTTTATAAAGCTCGCAGATCTAGCGCAGTTGATTGGGTGGCTTGGTACTGACGAAATGTGACAATGTACTCAGGGAGGTCGGCAAGCTCAGCTATTAAGGTCTCAGCCTTCTGTTCTTCAAGGTCAAGTTCTAGAAAAAGGTCTGCCGAATCTTAGCCGGGCCAATTAATAAGTCATAATTATCAAAAGGCTTTAGAGCCTTAGAAAAGGTATACAGGCTTGACAGCGATCAAAGGCCCGGCTTTGTACGAGGATTCAGGCAATATGGGGGATTATAATACAGGCCTTAATTTCTTCCAGGATTGGAAAGGCTGCCAGCACAGCCAGGCTTAAGAACGAGGCAGCAATAAGGAGAACATAATATACAATGCTTGGTATAGGGGACTAACAAGACTGCGGAGATTTATCTCCTGAATAGCGGTTTTTTCCACTACCTGTAGTCATGTATACCACGCGCTTCTATCCAACCCACGAACAGCATCAAGGTAACTTCCCTAAGCCGCTACATCAGAGCATGGCCGCCACCGCGGCCATCCCGTAAATTTTAATCTTCCTAGCCCTCTTAGCGAGTCTACCAGGACTTTCCAAGCTGAGAACGCTGACTTGGTGACGTTTCGCGATGCCGCTGATAAGCCCCGCCTCCGCTTCGACTTTGGCTCCCACGATGCATTAGCGAGTCCGGTCTAACCTGATTGACGGTTGGTTTCTGGCATTCTTTCAAGGTCAATCACGATTCGCCCACCAGTTCAATCGAACCTTGCAGACACTATTCCAGTAAACGCGGAGAAGATATATGTTCAAGATATTGTTTTCGACGTTATCAAGAATGACCCTCCGGCTGGCCGACCCATGGATGCTGTGTGAAATCGGTTCGCATCCTATGGCTTGGAGTAAATGTTGTATTATGAAGTACATCATCGAGCCTAAAGTTTGACCTTGCAATGCGTAATCAGCTCCGTAGCTGCACTATACAGTATATACGATCTAAATGGAGAATGAAGGTATCGTAAGCAAGTTCGGGAGTGTAGAGAGAATTGACTTTCGACAAGTATCCCTTAGCCGGAGCAGCCAGCCGATTTAATAGATTCTAGACAACCGACAGTAGTATCCTAGATAACACAGGCATCAGAGTGACGAGCCTCACCAGGTTTACGGCAATGCTGGCATATTGGCATATCGGGAAGCAAGACTAGGTTCATTGTCTTTATTCCAAGAAACAGCAGAACGGCAAATGATCGAGGAGAATGGAAGATTGCAGGCCCGCGGCACCGACAAGATCTTACAAGGTCGCATAGTGCATTACTAACCTCAAAAGTGACCGACCACTGGGCATCGTTTTTACTTCAGTATCCACAGTATCATGCTCATTGCGCTCCTAAAGGAAGATTCGAAGCAATAATGCAGTACGTCCTGCGGCGAGAAGTCTCATTATCGAGCCGACACGCTTCTGGTCATGACTCACATGTTGTACCCTCAATCTTGGAGATGGTTGCGAGCTTCATCCGGGGTTCGTGGCTCGGTCATGTGCATCCAGCTAAAGGTTGTCAATTTCGATGCCTGGCGGGTTAATTACTGAAGGCCTTCAGCGAAGAGGATGGGTCAGTGGTTGTTGTACCTGAACAAGGGAGGTGCTTCTTCTGGCACTTCAACGGTCGCTCCTCGACGCCGCACTGTTTCTTCACAATAGTATTGGTTGGTCAACTGATTGATTGGTAGTCAAAACCTGGACAAGTCACCAAGGGCATCCAGCGGCTTTAGACGCTCCATCTGAGGGACTGAGCATGGCACGTGAGCTGGGTTGCTGTATGTGCAGAAGGTATTATGGTGACATCTCTCAACCCAAGTATTGCTGCTCAAACTGGCAGTCGATGCTGCATCGCTCCTTACCATGCCCTCGTTCAACGACACTCAAAATGGAGGCCACTTAATCCACAACCAAAGACAGACAAAGACGCAACGGGTAATGGCCCCTATTTATTGAGACAGAGCCATATCATGATACAGAACCGTCAACGTTGTTCCTACCGTGTTGAAAGCAGAAACTGATATAACACTGCGCACGGGAGAATACTCTCTGGGCCCGGGTAACCTTTGGTATGCTTTTAGATGCTTATGCGAATCTCGAGTCCCTCACCGAGCTTCATCGGCAAGTCAAAAATCTGAGCATGCTACAGCAGAAGTTTCACGAGGAAATACTACCCGCAAAGGACTTGCCGAAGGAGTTCTTTATTTCTCTACTCCGCTTCAAGTACTTCTTGGAGCAAACGGCAAAGGGGCCTTTAGACAAGCTCAAAGTAGCTGTTACAGCCTCTCCACCGATGCGGAAATTCTTCGTCCGTGAGCCTCCTGTTGATCCTGACTCAACAAAGATATTTGTAAGGAGTCGCCCGGGATTCAAGACGGAAAAGGTAGAACAACAAATGATTTGGTTGTTACGAACACTGTGGGAAGATGATTATACCATCTTTCTCATTCGCGTGCCTAACGTCGTCGATGAGTTGGAGCGACTGCTACAGGCGGAGCCTAAGGCGGATGCCCTCGTATCGGCCCACGTGGCCAAAATGATCGGTGATTTAGCCATTGTCACACAGAGTCTCAAGCAACTCGAGCTCTATCAGCCATGGGCCCAACAGTTCGAGATGGCTTCGGCTGACCATGTAGAAGACTTCAAAGAGCAGTACAACGCGCTACAGAAACCTATAGCACAGCTTCACGCTGCATTTTTACAAAAGGCCCTGGATAACGCCGCTAGACTTGCGGAGCCGTCAGGTGGCAAATTTACTTACCCATATAACAAACGTCGGACAAAGGAGACAGTAGACGCTTTGCGACAGGCTGAGTCGAATTTAGATATGTTCTGGGCTCAGGTTGACGACATAACAAAAGCTAGAGTTACAGATTTCAAAGATACAGCTCTTTATCGCCTTCTTTCTCAGCCACGCATCTTGAGAAGAACCGCAGAATGGGTTGAACCTACAAAAACAAGAGAAAAAGCTAAACCCGCCCTGGGCCTGGACCCAGATCTTTGGGCCCTCAACCGTCCACTTTCAAACCTGTTCCTGGACCAACCTGCACAAACACCTCAGAGATTCAATGCTCATGACTTTCAGTCCAAGATCAAGATCAAGACCAAGGGTGACCCCTCTGGAACGTCTAACAACGATAACGTGGCACCAACTGATGCCATAAAACCCGAAATTCTCAACGCTCAGCCAGTATTTTCCGTCGATGTTCGAGCATTGAAGGTGTTTCGCACTTTATTCTTTAACCCCGAGGTAACATCGACGCCTGGCTCCATTTCATGGAGCGACTTTCTCTATGCAATGGCCTCTGTAGGTTTCCAGATTGAGAAGCTCTATGGCTCTGTCTGGCAGTTTTCTCCTACAATTTTAGATATTGAGCGAGGGATTCACTTTCATGAGCCCCATCCAAAAGGCAAGATTCCTTTTGAAGTCGCTCGACGGCACGGGCGAAGATTGACACGGGCTTATGGCTGGTTCGGGGGCATGTTTATGCTCAAGGAGAAGCAATAAAGGCCACTCATCATATATGTGGCCCTGGCAAAGAGTGTTCATCTCAGCTGGTCCTTCCTACAGATCTGACTGGAGATTTTCATACATGGATGAGTTTTGGTTCAGCTAAGCTTGGTACCACTGGACCCAGTACCTTTTACCTTGCTACGTTGTGGTAACTGTTCGGAGTATAATGAATCTACTGTTTGTGAATTTCTTGCTCTCTATTATTGCAGGCATTCCACTATTTTCTCTATCATCTGGCATGTCCGATGCGTTCAGCAACTGGGCCATACTCATAAGTAATAAACCATGGCGAGAATGTAACCTACAGGATACGCTTCAGGCGGGCCTCCACGGATCTGAAACTGAACATTTCACAAATATCTTCATAGATCCAACCACTTTCCCCATCAACTGAAGCGATTGAGAATGGTGTGCACTCAAAAGAAGTCTTGTGAGCAATTTTCACAGGGGTCGTGCCTTTTGCACTCACAAGTGGAAAGCTTGCTACTAGGGCTCGTCGAGATCATTATCACTCTCCAATCAGACTGCTCTGTTCAAGACTTGAGGCACATAGAGATCAATTGTGCGTAGAGAAAGATCGGTGGAAGTCTCGTTAACCCTACTGGAAATACATGACTAACAACCAGGAAAGTCCTTCGGAAGCTGTTCCCCCCCGATTGCCTTAATCCACTGACTTGCTTCATGGTCACCCCGTAATCTTTGCCAAAACTGTCACAAAGTCTTCCGTGGTAGTTGATATTAGAGAATCAGCATCTGTAGTCGAAAGATCACCTCAACGCGGTAGTGTTGGTCATTGCACTCGATTGTGACATATTTCCGCACCGGGTGCGGAAAACCATAAGCAGTGCATATGCCGGTGGAGCTAAAGCAGTCGAGCCTTGGCTAGGGCGGTCCATCGACCCTCTTATGGGGGTAAGACTGTTTAGCCAAATGTTTGTAAAGGAATACCGCATTGTTTCTGGATAGCTGACGTGCATCTTCATTAGTAGGCCCTCGAGGCACGAACTTGAGTCGTCCACCAAGGCATTCAGCAAGGACACTTTCGGCATCTTGAGTCATGTGAATGGCTCTATGGCAGGTAATGTCCAATTCGAAGGGTTGAAGTTCCATGATTGGTGGTTAAGGTAGCAGTTAGAGCAGATTTGTAACGATATGCATGTTAATAGAGATAAGTACTTGACTTGCACAAACTGTTTTTGTGATTACTGAGGTGATCCCTTTCTTTAAATGCACAAAAGTCAATCAACATCTGGATCGTGGGAGCTCAACATCACCCATGTCATCCCAGTCACAGCTATACCAAGCCCTAACCGCTTAGAGTGTCGAGCCGTATGCAACTCTTGACCTCTGCCAACTTCAGAATCATGTCGTGGACCGCTTACCTTGCCTTGAACAGAGCTATCAAGTCCTCTCCAACCCATAGGGATCTGCCGAAGCCAGTGCTGAGGTCTAAGGGTCATGACAGAGCTGGCGCTATTCCCTCGACAATACAAATCACAACGGATCTACCAAGATGTTGGTAATATGATTGGTTTTACGATTTGAATCTTATTGGATGCGGCGGTGATTGTTTGTTTCATCGATCATCACACCCACTTGTTGCCGAATTAGCAAAGGTTCTCCTAAGGCAGGATGAAACAGCAGAGAACAGACCAAAGTCAGGCAGGGGTTATGCAGCAACACAGGTACATCCTGCACCTTTTCTGGCTGTTTGACCAGGATTCAAGTTCTATTCAGAGATTGGGTGCTTGGCCCGGGGAGACTGGAGTTAAGCTGGCAGGTAACGCACCATTCCCAAGTAGTGCCAAGTTGATAAACTAGAGCGCCACAACGCCCCGGTCGAGTCACAAGGTAGGGTTGTTGGTTATAGTTAAAGATAGGTGCTTGCTCTGCCGTATGGGACTTACTATCTATAGTTGCGCTTATCTAGCTCGAAGACTTTAGGGAAAATCACATACGAAGTGAGAAGAATCGCCATCTCAAGTTGGCCATTGGGCTCAGTGGAAGAGAGAGCCAAGCGGCAGCCCATATGATCGGATCAGAAAATTAGCTCATTCTCCAGAACCCTGTTAGCTGCCAGCTATCCTCTCCCAGTAAGGTCATTGATATGATTTCCCCCAAAACAGTACGCAACCGGCTACAAGGTTATTGTGGTGTTGACTTCGACGCAAGCTTCCCCAAAAGGGTCTAGCTGCACTCGTCAACAACGGTTCTCACTCATTTCCCGCTAGCGGAATTGGCTGATTGCGGGGTAATGTCTGGGCTTGTGTACCCATCGCCTGGCAACTCCCAGCCTGTCAGGGCTGCTTAAAGTCGTCAGAAGGAGTGGTGCAGTCACAGACGCTTAGCTGCTATCTATCGGATAGGTCACTATTAGATGGGCAGGTTTGGAAGTGTAATAGCATTACTCCTTAACCCTTCTTCCTTAAAGGAGCCTGGAATATATCATTGATATTGATCTAGTGGAGAGAACCATTGGGCAAAATACCCCTCTGTATTGTATGTCGGAACCAGGCAAACCTCGCAGGAGATTTTCTCAACCAATAATGCAACAAGGAGGGGTCAGCTTGATGCCGAACTCAGACTCTAGACATTATCTCTGTGCAATCCCCCTCAATCAGAAACAGGTGCCCTGTGGGAACTTGTTCACTCCACACATACACTGCCCCTTCGCGTCACGAGGCTCCGAACTGTACCTAAGACAGCAACGCTGTTGAAAGCCACAACCTTGGCAGTCGGAATAAGTACAGCATGGGCTCCCTCCAAAGACCTGGCGCTCTCGACATCTTTTTTCATCAGCCGGATCCATTGACACAGTGTCGTTTGCCATTGCAATGCCGACAATAAACGAAAGGGCAAGAATCGAGAGCTTCATGGTCTATATAAAGTCAGTACTCCCTCATTTAATGCAGCCTAGGTAAGTGGCTGGATAACTGACTGGTAATCTATTTCGACTACTTTAATGCGTTAGCTAAAGATACTTGTTTCTGTCGAGCTTAGTCCAGCAAGCAGATATAAAGGGACCAGAGTGACTTACTGGAGATGGATGAGTATTATTAAAGGTTGATGGATGAGGGTTGCTAAAGACTTCTAAACTCGAGGAGGAGAAAGCTCTTTATATGCTTTTCAAAAACAGTTTTATCTTCTTTATATAAGGGATAGTAGTAAGGGAACTTATTAATAAATAGTTCTAAGACAAATATAACTTATCTGTCTCATTAACAGCAATGTAAAAGCAAGCCTATTTCCTACTGCTATCCTCTGTAAAAAAAAAAAAGAAACTTCTAAATTGTATAGTAAATGTAAGGGAAATCTTAAGGACTTTTTTATTTAAGGGAGGAGGGTGTTTAAGACTTATAGTCGGGCCGAAACCATTCAGCTGATATTCCTAAAAATCATTGTCTCAGCTCTTGTATTCCCAGCCCCTAGATATTCGTGAGTTAATTATCAGCCTGTCTCAGCTCTTAGGGTTAATATTTCACGGCCTGTTATCGGCCCGAATATCTATAGAAAATTAATTATACAATTAAGTATTAGGGCTAGCATTGTCAGTTATACCTTATGCCAGACTTAGTACACCAGCCTATTTCAGTCACCTAAATAGTTCAAGCGGCTATACATAAGTGTGAAACAAAACTACTATATATCACAAGGAAGAGGCTTTAAAATATTCCCAATATCTCGGGAAAAGGACAAAGCAAGTGGCTTATGCAAAAGTGGGAAGATCCTTTCTACATGCAGATGTAAGTAGTTTCACTAAGTAATGCAGCTCCCTAGTTATTAAGGGGTAATACCAGAAAGTCAATTAGGGCTGTGACATGCCGAGACATTGTTAGGATGAGACCTTGGGAGATTCCCTTTAGTTCCAGAGTCATAATCTTAGAGCTACACTTCCTTGTACATTGTCCCGTCCAATATTTATCTCAACCAGGCTTGCCTGTCCTTTCTTCCTCTAGACATATCCCTGTCCATAGCAAAGTCACGCAGTACTCTCTCTTAGCCAAGTTAACTATCTCTTAAGATACTCACCCTCTGGTCCCTAAGAGGCCCTATAAGATTCTGTATAAAGTGGTTCTTAATGTAAGTCGTGACCTCTTTAGGTTACCAGATGAGGTGCTATATCCACATATAACTATACCTAAAGAAGAAACTTAATATATATATATATCCAGCTATAGAGGCACCATTTTGGTATTCACTCAGTGAGGGCGTGTATAACTATAGGTAGACATTAATGAAAGTCAGACTTAAAACTGATGTAGTAGAGAATAAGAGCTTAAATCTGGGTAGCAGTATAGCCATCTAAATCCGCTGTGTCTTAGTAAGAACGGCAGCAGGCACTGTACCATCATCTTGATGCATCCGCTTGAGACTTGAAAATTCCTTTTGAGTGGTGAAGGTATCTGTAAGGAGCGATTTCCACTTGAATGTTCCTTTTGGGACAGTGTTGGAAAAGGCGAGAGAGGGAGCTTTGCTTGGTGGGCCTCGATTGGGCTTACGTCTTCTTGCCAGGCAATCGGACACCTCCTCTAGAGCGCGATCCACTGCACATGCCAGTGGATCGTGGTTCAAGCTACTTTTGAAGAGAAACTTCTTGCTATTCTCAAGTATAATCTTGATAATTTCCGGATCTCCATGTCTAGCAACACGCGATTGCCGCGTTTGTCGGCGGAGACCTTTCAAGTCGATACTCTTGCTATGATGGAGAAGTAGCAGAAGGATGGGAATGTGGCGATAACAAGCTGCATATTCCAGTGGTGTCTCGCCCTGATCATCGTTCGAGTCGACTTGAGCGCCGTACTTGAGAAGTAGCTGGACCATTGCCTGATTCCCCCATCTGCATGCTCTCGACAGCGGCGATTGTCCACCCCCATACATAAGCGCCGGGTTGGCCCTAGCCCCATTTTCTAGGAGTAACCGGACCGTGGTGATGTGATCCCTGGCGACTGCATACCATAGCGGTGTGTAGGGACCATCTCCATCCCAGTTAACATTGGAACCTGCCTCGAGAAGTAGACGAATCACACGGTCATGTCCCTTCTCAGACGCATAACACAGTGGGGTCCGCCGGAAATCATCCTCTGTGTCAGTCTTGACGCCGTTTGCAAGCAATAGTTTCACACACCCTTCTTGCCCATAAGCAGCCGCTAACGACAGCGGAGTATTTCCTCCTTTATCCTGCAAGTCAGCCTTTGCACCACTGTCGAGAAGCAGGTTCATAACAGCCTCTTGACCAGTTCGAGCTGCATAGAATATTGCTGTTCGACCGTAGCCCTCCTTGAGTTCCACATAGTTCGTAAGGAGTAAAGTTCGTGCTTCTGCTGTGGCCCCAAAGAAGGATGCAAGATGCAGCCCCCTTGCCCTTCTGTGGATATTTCGACCTTCCTCAAATGACATTATAGCCAATTCGGGTCTCATACATACTTGGGCTGAGGATTCTACATTTGGACCTGACTCAAGAAAGTCAATGACTCCTTCACAGATAGTTGCGGCATTTCGAGCATGGAAAGCCCAGTTGTTTGCAGCGTAGAGATACAGCGGAGCTCGTTTTTTGAAGTCTGCGTCAATTTCACAACACCCGCTTTTAAAAGCCCGGAAACTCAAATAGGTAACACAGGTTGTTGTGATATAGTTTTCAGCTTTCGGAAACCAGGTCGTCTGCGTCTTCTCAAAGTATTCCTGTGTCGTGTAATGGGCTAGTCGGATAATGCCGTCACTTTCATCAATCGTGACGAGTCCAATACAAACGTGCACCATGAGACTTGTGTCATGTAACGCAGCCATGTCGACCTCGTCGGTGCCCACCTCGACAGCAAGGGCGTGCCGAAGCTCTTCAACAGTAAGTGGTCTCTTTGCGCAGGTGATCCATGACAGAACTTGCATAGCTAAGTCTTTGTGGCCTTGCAACTGGCCCCTTACTCGCTCCATGGCTATCTCGTATGCGTGGTAGTATGCATCTGAGCCGCTTGGTAGTTGATTAAGAGCCTTACGGACGGCGGCGACTGAAGTCTTGTCACGTAGAGAGTCAAGATGTAGCTGGGCCAGAAGGAACCTAAACATTTCAGCATTGCAATCTTGTATTTAACAAGAGATATCTTACATTCCTTGCACCGAGCGTACTATTTGGCTTGTAATATCTTCTTCAAGGCCTTGTTGGCCGAAGAACTCGGGCAATTGCGGCATTCGACCGCGGACGAACATGCGGACATCATCGTCTGTAGCACGTACTTCGAGAGAAGCACAATTCGTAAATAGACGTGTGACATCGGGTATTGGCCTAGAAGTGGCGAAGATGTTGATTTGACACTTTGATTGCAGATCAAAGATCTCGCTTAGAAACCTTGTCCGAGTGCCATCAGATGTGCGACACTCATCGAGAGCATCGATGAGGACGAAGACTCTTGAAAAGCGTTCAGCGACCCACAGGAGGGCACTTGAGATGGACTCCAACGAGAGCCGTGATCCCGCTCTGTGGAGTGATTCAACGCTTTCTGGTATAGTTTTTAGACCTTGTAGAAGTTGCTTTAGAACGCTCGCCAGAAGCTCCCTGGCGGTTTGCTCTTCTCGGCGCCGAAAGTTGCAATAAACATATGCAATACCAATATTGCTGTAATCTACAAACTGTGTTTTCAAGCTGTCGATAACGATCGAGGTGAGAATTGTTTTGCCAGCGCCTGGGATACCCGGACAGAAGAGAGTCTGATTAGGGCTATCCCGCCAGTTGCAGAATTCTGGTGAATTCAGAAGCCATTGGCCAGTTCCTGGCTGCCGTCTCCCAATGTTGTCGCACTGGAATAGACTATAATCAGCCAGGGTCAGCCATTCTAATAACTCTTTGTGTTGTTGGGTTAGATGGTGTCGAATAATTGTGTCAGCCTTTTTGGATGTAGCTGTGACCTCGTTCTGTAAGTCTATCATTGTTATAACATGTTAGCTGTTGCCTTACTCAGAGAGTCAGATATGCCAAGTATATGAGTTGGTTGTGTCATTCATTCTTCTTGGTTATTAATAAAGCTGAACTAACCAGACAAAACCTCACTGATCTTCTTCTCAGCTTCTGCCTTATTCGGATGGATCTGACTGAGAAGGTCCTTAGCGTATGCAGCAGCCGCCATCGCTGCGTAGCCTTGCCAATTGTCGTTCTTATGTGTATCGGCATAGTCGCAGATGCCACGGATCACCAGGCACGGAAAGTGGTTCACCAGGCCAGCTGCTTCTGTTTCGAAGCAAAGGACACCTTTCTCCGCAAGCTCATTACGGATTATAGCGTTCTTCATTAGCTTGTTCGATGATGCGATAAGACCGTAGTGGATCGCCGGATTATCCTCGTCGTTGGTCCTTTCGGCGCGGAATTTGAGGCTCGATGGGTCGTTGCCGCAAAGGTCGCAGTTGGGCGCGTCATCCGGCTGGTGAAGCACGGTAGGTTGGTACAGTCGATCAGTGATTCCCAGAGGCCGTCTATAGTTTTTGCGTAATCTTGGTTTTTTGTCTAAAATATCGTTGATGGATCGTTCAAGCTGATGCCCGTCGACCTTATGTTCAGCCCTAAGTGCCACAATAGCTGTTCGCAGAATTGTAGGCGGTTGATTGAGAAATCCTGACTCTTGGAATCGTTGGTTCTGTATGACCTTTCCGTGATCAAAATTGAATACGCCGCCGTATTTTCCATTTCCAGAAGCACTGACGACGATATCCCCAAGACGAATATCATGCTTCGGGCTAGGCGCACCGCCACCAATGCCAACCATCAAGCCAATCCTAATATTAGGAAAGCTATGGAGCATGTCTCGTGCCACGCTGGCAGCAGGTGCTATGCCATATTCTCCGTGAGGGAGGATGGCGATCACAGTATTATGTTTCCCGATCTTGCCCAGAGTATAGATATTATTATCGTTTGTGGATACAGATTCTGGCGGGGCATGCGTTTCGTCGAGGAACGCTTTCGCAGCAACGTATTCAATATAAAGGGCGCAAATCCAGCCCACTATATAGTCGTGAGGGTTAGACATGACAGGCAATATTTTGCCGGTATCTTTGCGATGAAAATTTAAAGCATTTTTGTGACTCTGAACCCGGCTCCCAGCGCAGCCTGATTTCGTCAGGCATTAACTTCCCCTCCTCACTTGTTCCGTAAGCGCCTAGGCAACAACTATAAAAGGGCGAATGGAGACAACCCGATTGGACTGCAAGACTTGGCCGTAAATGTACTAGCTTTTTCAGAAGGCTTATTATATCTCTCGATTTCTAAAGCAGCCAGTTTCGATATCTCTATATACCAGCTTTTACAGCATTAATTCATTTAAGCAGCTAAACACTGGGGATTAGCAGGAGTTATATTAATTAGTGAAAAACAGTGGAGACTCAAGGCAGGACTATTAAATTGTAATACTTCTATACTATTAAGTACTTAAGGATTTAATAAAGCTAATAAAGATAAGAAATATTAAATATAGCCTTAAAATATAAGCTGTAATTACCTACTGGAGGTAGTTTACTATAATTCTATTTAAAACTGGCAACTAAATATAGGGTAATAGTTAGTATACTTATTCAGTCAGTATGCTTATTTACTATATTGTTTTTTATTATATGGAAAATACTTTTAATTTCTGGTTGAAGGAATGACAGGATCATCTCCCAGATCTCCTTCGGCAAGGAGACAGCACTGAGATGACGGACAGTGCCTCTCGAGATGCTGTTGGCTCTGGCCCTGAGCTGGTTGACGCGGCTGTCCACTTCTCTTCCCATTACCCTCAGACTGGCTGTGGCGCGAGATTTGCGTTCAAGAGCTTGTGCTAAGCTTGGGGAGATTGCAACGCCACAGTCTTCAGCGTTCTCTCGTGAGGCATCGCGGTTCGCACTGCCATCGCCCAAAGCAGCCAAAGCTTGGTCATGGTCATCGCACCCCACTAGGCGAGTGCACTCAACATCCAGACTTTCTATCTGAGACCTAAGCGCGTCGGCCTCGCGTAGTTGATCGTATGTCTCTTAGAGGTTGAGATTGACGGCGCTGGACCAGGCGCGGATCTGGCTGTCGATATCGTCCATCTGCTTGAGAGATGGGGCTATGTTGACGACAGGAATCGTGTTTCGTGACATGATAGATCCCCCTGACGATAGCTCATGTAATATGTCTCCCGATGGGGAAAAGATATGTACTCTGTGATTGGCTTGGGATAAGCAGAATCAACTCATTCTATGTGCTATTAGGTAGGCCATGACCTGATTAGAGCGACCACTGCGTTTAAGTACACCCACTGAGAAACCCTTGGCCGTACCTGATTATGTTTTAAAACTGGTTCTGTTATACGATGTACTTATTGAGCTACTACCAGGAAACTAAGACTATAACACCCAATAAGGCACAGCGCCATGTCTCAAGGTTCAGAGGCCCTGCTGCTAATTTGCTCAGTGATTGGTAACTAGACGACATAACCACTTATAATTCAACAACCGCACTTGAATTTCCGCTGATTTTACTCCGCCCCAAAAGTTAAAAGGTGTTGCCGTCAATGATGTGGCCTATATTGCAAGCCACTAGCGGTTTCTACCATTACATCCCTGGCTAACCAGTACCAACCCTAGCTGGAGCTCGGCAGCTGAACCAGGATTTGCCGGCTGAAGTTACAGGCAGACCCAGCGCAGATCCCTAGTGACTAAATTGCGTCCTATTTCACCAACCAGTGGAATTCAACCTGAAACAATGTAAAGATCCGAGTCCCATATCGGTGAGCGACGGCGGTCAAGGGAAACCGTCTAAAGGAGGCATCCAGAGTCACTTCGCTAAACGCGTCAGCTTTCGAATCCCCATACCGAGCGTGGAAATTTCGTTCTTGTAACTTCATCTTATTGGCTGACTGATCACGCAAAATTGGTCAGGTCGCATTTATCATGGCAAGTAACCATAACGCTGCACATCTATATAAATGCCGATGACTGCTTGAAGGCTTGGCTTTTGCCCTAACGGAGCAACTAAAACCAAATCCAAGTACCGAGTACGTAGTAATACAGGCATGTTCATGTTAGAAAAGCCAGCGCTATTCAAGGCACTCTTAAGCGAAAGGCAGAAAAGGATTTTATTGGCTGCTTAGCGACTTGGCCAATGGCGATGTAAGTCAGCCTGAAGTCCTCCATTCTAAAGTACAAGTCTGGATTAGCATCCTTAGGCGGAACACCAATTATAGTACGCCCCAATCAGCCCCACACCGTCGACGCAATCCTAGGAACTATTAAGACGCGATTAGCCAGATATCATCCACTAAAATAAATAATTTCACTTAAAATTTAGACTTAAATCAAGTAACATTAGATCAAGTTACTAATTAGTTCAAATTAACCCTAACCCTACACTTAAGGTTAGCTAGCAGCAGCTTAAGGTTAATGCAATATAGAGGAAAGGGGACTTCAATTAATAAAGAAAAACAATAAAACTACTTTTCTCTTTACTTTCTACTATTAAGATATAAAAGGCAATATTAAGTAGCAATAGAAGATATTATATAGTTTAATTAGGACTATTATATATTAATCTACTAGCTATATTAGGTAGCCATTTAACCTAGCAGCAGTATTAAGTTACATTTTTAATAGTAGCATTAGCTAAAGGGCTAAGTGCTTAAGGATATTAAAAACTACTATAGTACGCTTAAGCTAGCTAACCTAAAGCTTACTATAACCCCTAAGGATAACAG